TTAAATTGTCCAAAATCAAGTGGTGCAATGAGATTGTAACAAAATGTAGCAGAACACTTTCATAATAATCATAGATCATTTGATAGCATCAATAAAAAAGTCCCTTGCCATATTGCAGTTTCCACAGGGAGTTTGCCAACTCCTCGTACAATCTTGTTTGTGCATCCAAGAAATAAAGCACATTCAGTTTCTTTTCTTTAATGTAGAATATAGTATATATTTCATAAATGACTTGCATATTTTTCTATGTGACATCTGCATACCAAGTATATAGTACATTTATAGCATTATATAAACTCATACACAGACATTTGGTAAAACATTGGTATCTCAATGAATTACGAGTACATGTGAACATATACAAGACAGGTTATGATATCAAAGAGCAGGTAAAAAAAGTACAAAAAAAAAGTTTTTATAATATTTGACAGGAGTTGTTAAATTATAAAAATCTTATATCAATGCTTAGGATGCTTCCATAACAATCATGTCTCGGGTAACCTGGAAGGCAGCAATCAGTGATCCAAGTTGAATCTTTTCATTTGTACCGGCTGTAAGGTTATACCTGGAATGGTTTGGACACAATCCGAGATGAATACGCATGAAAATGAAATTCTGAAAGATTTTTATAATCAGAATGTTTTGGCACAAGGTTTTCACTATCTCCATAAATAATTACTATTGTACCGCTTAAGTATATTTTGTAACATCCCGATTTACTTCAAAACCATTTATTTTCACTGCTTTGCGAAATTTTGCTAAGAAACAATTAGTGCTATTGTTATTTCACATGTTCACATGAATTCAATTTAGCGAATTTTACTTATCAGCCAAAGTAGTGAAATTAAAACCCAGTGAATAATTAATGTGTTTTGAGTATTGCTTATGAAACTGCTGTTGTCCTTTGCACGTATTGCATCATTAAGAGACATGGCGGGTTAACATAATTTTCTATGCCGACAATGTGTTTGTTTTGGTTAAATCACTGACTGTGATCATATACCAGAAATATTAAAATGAATTAATATAAAATACACTTACTCTATTTCAGCCATTTTATCTAATAATTTAATTCTTACTTTGGTAGGAAGCTCAACTGAAAAACAATTTATACAGTCATTTGAGTATACCATGGTAATAGTAAACAAGCAGTCTTTCGGCCGAGATAGCTCCACTGTTAAGCAATGCACATTTCAATTAAAGAATTGAAGATATCCCAAAATGAACAAATCTGAGAGAGGTTTACCTGCAGTGCCTATATGCATAATATCAAAGCAATTAGACTTGCCGTTTTTATCAAAAGTCAAAAATATCACTTTTACCAAAAATATTAATCAAAATATTTTACTCCCAAAGCACATTTTCAAAACTTGGAAACATACATGTATATCAACTATTTTTCCCAGGATTTTCTCACACATTCAAAAACCCATATATGATTAAACTGTTCAGCACAGACGATTACCCAGTAAGTTTCAAACTACATCTCAAGTGCATTTTACGAATGCAACAAGACAATTAATAAATATTACTCTTTTTTTAACATTTTTTATTCTTAATAGACTAACAAAACAGTTTCTGAGCAATTTGATACCCAAAATCAATTTATGCATGTTCTTTTTATTATTTTAATTATCATGAAAATTGAAATTTTCTTTACCTTTTCTACAATTCTGACAAAAATGAAAAAAAAAATGCATACAATTTTAACTGACATGTGCAATGGCCAGAAAAATGATATAATGAAAAGAATTTCATTTACCCCCCAAACAAAGTGCAGAGCCATCATATGAGGTACAATTTTGTGTAAACAATGCATTTTACACATGCTGTATGTGTGGGCCCATACTGTGGTGTGATGCTTCAATGTTATAAATATTTTGAACTGGCCTGTCGTACAACACACTGATGCATTGAAAGTCGTATTTACCTTTGTGTATGAATTTATGTACTTCAGTTAGAATATCCTGCAATGCAAGACCCTTTAAAGTCTTTAAATCAAGTATATCTACAATATTATGTTAAGATTTCATAACATTTAAAAGATTGATTAGCAAATTATCTAACATACACATAAAATTGCTGATGCATATATAAACCATGATAAACAGCTTTCAATTACGACAAAGTACAAAACAATTTCTGCATTTCTTCGCTTACCTGTACTAGACTTATGCCAGCTTTTAACAAGCGACCAGATGCTCGAAATGGCTCCGCTGTCCTACAAGAACATAATGGTAAGGCAAGTCGAGCAATGCACACCCATAAGACCTCTTTTTAGAAACTGCCAGCTCAATTTGATACCAAGTATCAAAGCAATTGAACTGGTAGTTTTCAAGAAGTCATCGAAAATATCAAGAATATATGCCAAAAATAGACAATTGACGATATCGTCACAAAATATCAAGTATCAAAGCTATTGAGCTGGTAGTTGTTGACAGACGATGACAGACAATCACTTATATGAACAGCTCTGCTCTGTCATCTATGATGAAAGCAGAGCTTAAACGTGGTTGCAATATAAATATCACATTTTTGTAAGCTCCATCCCGCACACACGAACAGTTACAACAAAGACACACCAACAAAAAGAACTTAAAAATTTACATTTAAAATTCATTTTTATCATGTATTCCAAAACCACAATTGGATATATAGCCGATGCGGTCTACACACTTTGCTATTTAATCATTGTATTCAATGACAATATATCAAACAAGGATACTATTATAAGCGGTTGTAAAATCTTCATTCAGCATCCAGTTGACAATATTACTGATATCCTCCTTTAATGGATGGCCAACACATGTATAAACATTGACTTCATTCACAACATCATATGCCATAGACGTACTCTAAAAAAAAAAAAAACAATGAAGAAAATAATAATTGTTGTTGGATGAAAATTAGTTATGCTTACATATGAAAATTTGTGCTTACAACTGGTTTTTAATCTGTGTCGAAAACGTGCACAAAATGGTCGTTTTGTGCACGTTTGGACACGGCTTATCAGCTACCTCAAGTGCCAAATCCATGAAATAAACAACCAATGTCAATAGAGTAGCCTAGGTGTTAAAAATGGATTAAGTACTGGCAAACCAACTTCTGCATAGGTAAGTCTCTAAACGCAAGCTTTTTGGTTTATTTAGTCATTTTTTTTTAAAACTCAGTTGTACAATCGTGCGTTTCACAATTGTTGATTATTAGTCAGTAGTGATTATAATAACGCACAAAAAACAAATTCGTTGAATTGTTATGAAATGCAAATAAAATTCAACTTAGTTTCATTGTAAGCAAATGATTCCGGTCGCATATAAACGCTCGATACTGTAGAGTATCTGCCATGTCCTTTCTCTTGCATAGTTGACCTATTAGGTCAAATCAATGATTAACAAATCAAAATGCTGGATGATGCCCAATGTGTTCACATTACCCGAAGAGATTTGCCGATGTTGTAGTACGATATTTTGGCTTGGGTTCTGATGGAAAAATGGCATGATTTTTTTTCAAATCAAAAAATAGTTGTTTTCAAAAGATAAACTGAGCATTAGAAGAATAATTTAGCATTGTTTACAGCGATAATAGCTCATTGTCGAAACGAAGCTAACCTATTCACGCTAGTCACAATAACCATACTCTTGAATAAAGACTTAATAGACTATTTTAGGCGTCAGGAAAAATTGAAATGTCCGAAAAATTACACCAAAATATTAAAAAAATACAACTTTAAAAAGTGACGAAAAATCACCCTGGCAGAGAGCAGAGAAACCAGAAACATATTGATGTGTTTTCCAAAAAAAACAAAAGCAAAAATGCCACGGCCATGAATTTAAAATGCAAGCGAGTAGACGGGCGATATTCTGGGATTGCACAGTTGAAAAATAAAGTGGTAATTATTCAACAAGCGAATGGAAAAGCGAGTAAAAAAAAGACCGAAAAGCAGAAGCAAGCAGGAGGTTGGGTGAAATTAGTGCTGTACATTCAGGTCCTTTGTAAAAAATACGATCGGCCAAGATCTATCATTCTGAAGCACGCCAGAGACAGACAAAATGCAGCTTTGAATATTGACACCGTTCGTATTTTTTAAATGAGCCAAAACAAATCAAAAACTGTATGCTGCTTAAGCGATGATCGATCAAAACAGACTCGTTTTGCAAGTTTCAACGGCTACATGTACGTTCTGCTGAAGATTGGGTATAAGTACATTTTTTTTAGAATGATTTTCATTTGGTTTCACGTGATACTTAATCTGATTTATCATATAGCATTAAAAACAAGAAGTCCTCGGCATGGGTCAGAGTACAAGTATACCCCAGACCACTCGTTTTGATGAATGGTCTGGGTGTGGCTTGTGGGTAAAAATAGAAAATGGATTTCGATGAGGTTGTGATTATTTGGATTTTGAGAACAGATCTTTACTATTGAAATGAAATTATCATGTCTAGGGGTGAATTGTTAATAGGTGAAGTGATGTTAAAAACATATGTTGTTCATCGTACACCTCAACAACAAAGCTTTATAGAGGGTGGCGTTTGGAAGTAACCCCAGAGTTAAACAGGGCCCAAATTGATAGGGAGTAAAACACAGAAGTGGAAGAGCTGTCCATGCATTGACCAATCACACAAGAGCTCACAAACACCAACGAAATATTTGTTGTTGTACTTAACAAAGGGGTTTGGCACTTAAAACAATGAAACGTTTATAGGCTTTACGTTGGATTTAAATCGTGTTATAATCCAAATCCCCTAGAAAGAGTTGTAAGCACAAATTTTCATATGTTTATTATTGTTTATTTGTTTGGTCGAATTGAACGCCCAGAAGAATAATCAGTCACCTGTCACAATTGTTAGTAGTGTTATTTGAATGTATCTAGCCATACTAATATTTTATAGGCATGGCAACACATTTTTCAATGCATCAGCAACCCACCATGACTGGTGTCAGTGCCAAGTTTTAATGAAATTGGTCAAGGCATGTTCAAGAAAAGGTTGATAACATGTTTGAATTTTGTGATTTTATTTGTTATTGACGAAAATGGCTGCCATTCGGCTAAATTTCAATGAAAACGAAAAATAACTGAAAACAACATTTAACCCATTATATCTTGCCTTTGTACAAAATTTAACCCAAATCTGTGCAATCATCTCTGAAAATGAGCAGAACAGCAACCAGGCCACCATTTTGAATTGAATCACGAAAAAATTATGTGCATCAAAAATGGACGCCAGTTGTCAAAGGTCAACCAAATCAAAAATAAATCGATATGCACATGTCTCCCATTATGACTTGTCTTTGTACCAGCTTTGAAGAAAATCTGTCCAGGTGTCTCTGAGAAATGACGACTGACGGATGTCTGGCGGGGACTAAAAATAAACGTTTTGACGCAACTACAATGCTAATGACCTTTGTTCATCCTGTTTTTACATTTATATTCATGTATAACGTGGGATCTCGTAGTAAATGGAAAGTAGTCTATTTCTTAGAGAAGTCACATATAAATGAGGTTGTGAAATTTAGTTTGTGATATTTTTAATGCTACTGCTACATGAAACTCACTTGTAAGATATTTAAAGACTTTCTCATATCACCATTGGCCAGTGTGACCAGAGCATTCATACCATCTTCTGTGACATCCACTCTGATAACAAATATATGTACAATCAGTGGTGAGTAAACCTTTTGAGCACAAAAATCTACTTTTTTCACCTTTTAGAAAATAAAATAAAATTTCACATTTTTCAAATTTTGTTATCATGATCTGTAACCAATATGAAAATTAGGTCCATCTAATCTAAAATTATCATAAAAAAATATAGAAAAATACGATGAAAATGTTATATTCATAAAATTCAAAGTATTGAAAGTGGAATTACCTTTCTTGTTGTATGACGTGTTCTAACCTAGGCACCATCTGTTGGTTATCTAGTGGTCCAAATCGAAATCTTGTACACCTTGACTGGATAGCAGGTATAATCTTTGACAAGTAGTTACAGATTAAACAGAAACGAGTATTCTCTGTAAATTTTTCTATGACTAGTGAAAAGAAGGATATGAAAATAAATGCCTATACCATAAAAGTTTGGCTTAATTTCAAAATTTTCCCCAGAAAAATCAAGGTTAATCACTGTACAAGTTGTACGCACAATGATTACATACACTTGAATCCACAGTAAAACATTCTACATACTGAGCTCCAGAGGGCGACATTAAAGAATACTACTACGACTCACCTCTTCGCAATGCATTCTGAGCATCGTTTGTCATAGCATCTGCTTCATCCAAAATTACAATTTTAAATCCTGATTTGAAAATGGTTCTTGTACTGGCAAAACTTAAAACAGGACCTCTGACGATACCAATGCCCCTGTCATCCGATGCATTCAACTGAAAATACAAGTAAAATAATGCCACATCTGTTTGTAAAGCAGTAGCACCTCTCATTTCATCATAGAACTTTTTTAAGGTCTATGATTTCACTAGAAGTATGTATTCACAGTATTTCTGAGAAGTCTATGTTGTTAAATCACTTAGATCATTTAGACAACATTTACCCAACTTTACACTAAAGTTTGATTGACATGTGCATAAACTACTGTCAATCAAACCATTGAGTGAAGACACTTTAGAGCGTTGCTATGTAATAAACAAAGCACAACAGCTTGTGACCCAAGTGTTGCAGGCCATGAAATGTTTAGGGAGAACAGTGCTCACAAGGACGAAATAACACAAATGTCACTCACTGTAATTATGGGTTTTAAAAATAGTACAATTTTTACTGGTAGAAAATTTGATGATTAAGCGATTAGCATAGATGTCTTCGTATATGAGTGAAAGCAAATGTTGTTCAAAACAACTACAGTTTGGTTGTGTAGTGTCATCATATAGTGAAATCTCTCAAAAACATAATCTGCATTGACGGATGACTAGATAGAAACGATATAATGCCTTTGTTTCATCGATTTACGTCATAGAAGCAATTTGTAACTAGAGGGCGTGATTCATACGAATGGTATATTCACATGTTTCCACCAGAATTTCATGAAAATCACCAGGGATTGAAATAGAATTTTTTCCCTGCATGCATAGTGTGCATGTTGAATTTGAAATTTACCTGCACTTGCTTGTTGTGAAATGCACCATTTTTAAAGTTTAAATCAAATTTACTGGTTCTCGATTGATGCAATCACAAAAGAATTTGATTTTTTTTTAGTTGTCTCACAATGTTGGTTGAACTTAATTTAGGCTTAGTGAATATAATGAGAAAATGTTGTGCTAAAATCTACATGCACAGCGTGCACATTATATTTTGAGTTTACTTGCACAAGCTAATAATCTATGTGCATAGTGCAGTGTGCACCAGGGTATTTCAATCCCTGATCCCACACACCAAATTTTAAAACGATTAGTTATGACTCCCTATGGATCCTAGTACATAGTTACCACTTCATTCTCAACTGTACTAAGTGCCTGGGAACAATTGATGCATTTAGTGTAACTGTGGCATTGAAAAGTCAACACAGTATAGCAGTGTGGTACAAGAAATATTAAGACAGTTACCTCTAAAACCATTGAATTGAATTCCTTTGGCGAATATAACTGTTTAGCCACGGCTAAGATTGTTGATGTTTTACCTGTACCAGGTGGGCCATAAAACAGAAGGTGTGGTAAACGATCTTCTTTAATAAATCTATCAACTACAGAAAGAAATATGAAAAATGATCAATTAAACAACCACATTTGTGGATAACCATGAAAATAAATACGGAAATCAAACTTTAACCATACAATATAATATTAACTAAAATACCAGTACTACGGTAAAATCTGTATTAGAAGCCATGGCTTCCATTAAAATGATACAATACAACAGAGGGAATGCGGCTTCTATTAGAGCATCTACACATATGAGAAATAATGAATTTTTATTCTCAATTGTTCAAAAAGAAAGGGTGCGACTTCTAATAGAGATTTAACGGTACATACATTTTTTATGACAAAACTAGTTTTTAATATTTATTTTAGAAGTTGTTTGAAAAACCAGATCCTAACATCAGACTTAGGATTTTGAAAATGTCCTGGGAGCTAAAAATGACTCTCTTGAACACACGAGTGATTAGGGAGATTGCATGGATTGGGAAAGTGATGATTCCCTTCTGGATCTTGAAAGGGGTAGCTTATTTTGACTGATGTAGAGGCAAACAATTTGTTGGTTTATTTTAAGAAATAAAAGTTAATCTACATGTTCACATGAAAAACTATTTTTTCACAGTGGCTATCCCACTAAGTATTTTTTTTTAATTTTGACCCAAGCTATGACTTTTCCCCCAAACCTGACTATGTATTAACATATGGAAGTAACAGCTGGTACATGCATGCATACATACATTTATGTAATGTATTAGTATGAATAAAACTGAAAAACTGTTTTGTTTTTGTTACCGGTACTTCCTGCTCGAATAGATTCCACCATGCATTTTAGAGTAAGTACACTATAATAATAAAATTATTAGTGTTTAAATAAACCATATGATAGCTCCGGAATATTCCATGAAAACAAACAATTTGTCATTATGTGCAATTACTGCAAGCAACTATAACAAATATGATGCAATAAACGAGTCAATTAATCACATGGTTTTATTTTCACTTTAATACAGGTGTGTAGACATTCAATGATATCGTCACAAAATGATTAAATCTCATAGACGTCCAAGGAATAGTGTTAGCAGTTTTCAAGAAGAAGTCAATTAAAGAAAAAGTTAGTGGGATGCCCAGAACGATGATGAACACTCACTTACACTAACAGCTCGGCCTGACGACAAAAATAGCATTTTCACCAAAAACAACAAAAATATTCACTAAAATTAGAAAATTCAAAATATCTTCACAGAATTTTTAAATCTTACAGAGGTTCACCCAAGGTACTTACCAATTATTTAATAAATCGGAGTATATGTTTTGTAAAAAAATAGCATTTTGACCAAAAATTACAAAAATATTCATTAAAAATTGATCATGATCAAATCTCTCAAAGGCCCACCTAAGGGGTATATGTATTAAATATAAGAGCAAGAGAGTTAGCAGAACTCAAAAAGTTATTTGAAGGAATAGTTGACAATCACCTATACTAACCACTTGTTGTTTTCTATGACAGTGGAGCTAAAAACAATAAAACGCATTGGTTATCTGGTGAATCAAATGAAATTAAAACCTAGTGGATTTGATCAATTATCAAAATAATTAAATTAAACAGTGAAAATTATGTATTAAGTCTTAAATCGAAGCATTTATGCTATAAGGTTATGTACCAAATTTGAATAAAAACTGATAAAGCACGTCTAGGAAACCACTTTCAAAGACCAAAATGGCTGCCAGTCAGCCATCTTTGACCTGATTGCAAAACAAATCGTCATGAACATGTGAACATGTATCATATGTATAATATTTGTACAAAAACTGACAAAGTATATCCAAAATACCACATTTAAAAAAAAAAAAAGGCTGCCAGTCTGCCATCTTGAACCAAATCCCTAAACCCTTACATCACTGAAATAAAAAATGGTAATGTACCACTGTTTTGACGTAATTATAATTACATGTTACATGAATAACATTTACCATATCATTATATCAGCAGTGATATTTCACACTGAATATCAATGATGTGAATGATATGCATCATAATCATATGTGATAAATAACAATGATATTAAAATGATAATGATAATTGATAATGATATTAAATAAATACTTGTTGAAAGGATATCCGCATGTGAAATCAACTCCTCCAATTTATTTGGCCGATATTTCTCTACCCTAGAACAAGATAAATTACATGAAACTTGAGTTATGATAATGAAACATAGCAAATCAGCAAAAATATGGTTGAAAGGGTGGTCACATAAAAGTGGTAGTCTTTATACACAGGTTGCTCATATTTTATGCCTTGGGACTGCCTAAAAGGAGGCAATGTAGACAGGTGGTCTTTATATTATATAGAGGTGGTCATTATTGGCATGTGGTCTTTATATAGAGGTGGTCTTTACATAGGTGGTCATTATAGACAGGCAGTCTTTATATAGAGGTGGTCATTATATAGAGGTGGTCTTTACATAGGTGGTCATTATAGACAGGCAGTCTTTATATAGAGGTGGTCATTATATAGAGGTGGTCATTGTAGCCAGTTTTTTTTTTATAGGCAGATGGTCTTTATTATATAGAGGTGGTCATTATAGGCATGTGGTCTTTATATAGAGGTGGTCATTATAGGCATGTGGTCTTTATATAAAGGTGGTCTTTATATAGAGCTGGTCATTACAGAGGTGGTCATTATAGACAGGCAGTCTTTATATAGAGGTGGCCATTGTAGCCAGGTGATTTTTATAGGCAGATGGTCTTTATATAGAGGTGAGTGTTCTCCCCAGCATTGAATTTGTGTGCGGGGCCGCCATGCTGCTTTCCCTGCCCGCCACCTTGGTCTCGAGCCGCCACGGTGATTAGTAAGACCGCCACAGTGCTTTTTTCATTGTTCATCCTGTGAACTGTATTACGAAAATAAATAAAGAAAAATGCGTAGCTATCAGGGATCTTGCCACGCGACCACCACGGAAACGCATCCTGCCAGTCGTGGATTATAATTGGTAAACAATAGACATAGTCGCAAGATGTGGTAGTGGCTTATAAACAATACAAGTCAATTTTGCAAAATTAGCACCTCTTTGTTCGTAAGTAAATACTTTGACAATCAACACAGTCTTTAGATTGAAAGCTAAAATTCTTTCAAAATCAATTCCACCCCGATATAACATGGGCAAAGCGGAGTTCACGATGAGTTTACGCTACTCAAGAAAAAAACAATGTGTTCATTGCGTGATTGGGTAAAATACATTTGAACTTTTATCATTGCGAATCATGTAAAAACTCTTCTTTCAAGACTTCTTTTACCTTTTAAAAATTGCTAATCACCTATTTCGAAAACCATCATGCAGTTTTCATCTGAAATCCATACCAACACATCGTGCTACGACATCGCTTTACTTCGGCAATGTAATTTTTATGATCACTACCATTCGGAAAACTTCGGGTTCTGTCGGCATTACCATGGGGCATTCTGATTGGTTAATGGCGTTTTTGACCCATCAGGTCAAAGGACACATGCAAGTCAACTAATAAGTCACAATTATCATGGCGGTCTTGAAGCGATCGAGTGATCAAAAATAATTGCTCCCGATAAAACTAAGTCAAATTTTACGTTTATTTCATATAAAAAAAAAAGTAACATTTTTTGCATGGCATGACTGAGTAAGAGGAATTATTGGTATAACCGGTGTATAACATCGCTAAGTTAGATATGTCATGTCAGGGAGCTGTAATCATTACAGCTCCTCCCTGGTCACGTCGTAACTTTGATGATCGTTTGGAAGTTTTATTTGTTCATTCATTACTGTAAATGTGAACGTTGTAGAAGCTGATGGTACGTATAATGAAAAATTTTTTGAAGGAGAATGTTTTTGTAGCAAATAAGATCATGGAAGTCGAAAACATATTCCTAGCTGAAATGTTTCAAATGCGTTTCATTTAACCTTTTAGAATTTATTTGTTTGTTAGTTTGTTTTTAATAGTCTGCAGCATTTGCATTTCGAATCGAGAATGTTTCATTTTTAAATTCAAACTCTTCTGAAGTGTGAAACGTAATATTTTGACTCCAATAAAAACAATATTTGCACTGTGTCAGTGTGACGGAGCTCATTAATATTACAAAAGCGCACAAAAGAATAGTGTTTATAATACTGTATGAAGCAAATAAATATGTGCCACTTTGTTTTTGAAAATATGTTGTTTGTTGTGTGGGTGTAAATGTGCTTTGGTCAATCTCTATTATTATGTAAATTGTATGCAAATTAGTCCACCACATTGGTTTAAATTCCTGGGGAGAACACTGGAGGTGGTCATTATAGACAGGTGGTCTTTATATAATATGGAGGTGGCCATTATTGGCAGATGGTCTTTTTATAGCGGTGGTCATTATAGGCAGGTGGTCCTTATATAATATGGAGGTGGCCATTATAGACAGGTGGTCTGTATATAATATGGAGGTGGCCATTATTGGCAGATGGTCATTTTATAGAGGTGGTCATTCTAGGCAAGCTGTCTTTATATAGAGGTGGTCATTATAGACAGGCAGTCTTTATATAGAGGTGGTCATTGTAGACAGGCAGTCATTATATAGAGGTGGTCATTGTAGCCAGGTGTTTTTTTTTATAGGAAGATGGTCTTTATAAAGAAGTGGTCATTATAGACAGGTGGTCTGTATATAATATGGAGGTGACCATTATTGGCAGATGGTCTTTTTATAGAGGTGGTCATTATAGACAGGTGGTCATTATATGCAGGTTTGACTGCACTTGTATATTCAGCCCTCAAATTACTATGTGTGTAGGTGGGGGCACCACTAAACCATGAATTGCTTTTTTGAACTAATTTGCAATATTATATACATATGCAATTTAATTAAACTCAATAAAATTACAATCGTATATATGTAAAAATGGCTTGCCCCAGGTCGTCGGCTGCCAATTGTAAATATAGCTGACTTGAGTGCGTCGTAGATACACTCCTGGGGCCGGTGGCTACCCCACCCCTTACCCCATATCCCACACCACTATTGCACAGTGAAAGCAGATACTTGTATAACCTGTACATTTACATTGACTTGGTGTCTGTATCCGTTTTCTGTTGATGCAGGCCGTGATAATTAAAAATATTATTTAAACAAAGTAATGCGAATTATTAAATTTATATATTTAGCGAGAAGATAGACTTACCAGGGAAGATTTCTGTTATCATGTTCTTCCGCCATCTTGGAAATTGGCGCCATCTAACTACGCATGCGTACGTTATATGATCACGTGATCAATTACCTATTCCAAGATGGCTCTTGGTGGAAATGTTATGATTTCGCAGCCCAAATGTATACACTCGTAATGACATTTTTACAGCGACTGTCTCCCTCCTACGAGCCAACCTTCATCGTTTTGGAGTTTGTAAGGAAATAGGTAAAGCTATGTCAGGGGGAGATCCTACACCGAAAGGCGCCTGGTTTGAGTGTCTCACTATACAGACAGTGATCAATAGTCAACTATCCTTACTGGCTGGCCTGCGAACGCAATGCCATAACTCAAGTTTGACAATTCAGAAGGAAATTAGACAAGCCGAGGTAAGTAAATATGTTTTATAACCTCCAGATAGGTGATGGTGTGGCCAACTATCCATCGATCAAAACCAGTGACCTTCAATGCGATGCAACAGCACGATCAATGCATGCCGACGCAAGTCCCTCGTCATCACTCCATTGTCATCGAGGGGTTTGCTGTAAAATCCACCTCGTAACAGCGTAATTATTCTGTTGAATTTTATGCACGGTTTATTTTTTTAACGTACTTCTCACCGGCACAAATAACGCGGGGTTCTAGTTACTTGATTTGGTCTCTATATTGTATAATATCCTGTCCGTTGTCGGAATGGCAGACATTATGGCGTTCCGGATATCGCACATACTGCGTCAGCGGCTGCTCATCTGTGAATAAATATATTATTGTCAAGTTGTGAATTCGCTTAATCATATGTATTGAAATATTTTCACTGTATCTTTTATGGCCTTATTCAGTCAAATTTCCGGATTATAATATTTTGCCCCACTTCCAGTGTTATTATTTTTTCGGGGCTTCCCCTTACGTTTTCATTCAAACAAACAAGCCGCCCACCTTCCTGGTTATTTGCGTGATACGGTGATTAATACGTCAATGTAATTTCACAACTGACCCATACTTCCTTTATCTGCCCTTTTAATCAGTGCACGTTAAAATTCCCTACAACGTACCTGCCATCAGAAATGCATCAAAATGTTTAATTTAAACACTGGATCAGTCCCTCTGCTTTAAATATGGTATGTTGTGTCAGATCAATAAATCGAAAATAGATTCAAAAACATGCATGTGTTTGCAAACATCACACGCAGTTGAATTATCGGTGGTGATCTGATGGTGCAAATAGTGTGAAGAAGACACAAAGTTATTTCTTCACAGGTTGAATGCACTTTCATTGTAAACAGGACAGTTATATGATTTGTAAAGATGTCCTTGGGGAGTTTAGATTCAGATTTCATTTATAGACACCTATTAACTTTTGTGGATTGTCAGCTGAACAGGTAACCTTGCCTAACAATTTTATGTAAGTTGTATTTTTACATAGAGTTTGAAGTTACCTAGACAACCACCTACATGGATGTTGTATCACGACTCAACAAATTGCATTTGAAGTCCCAATATTTGCTAAAATTTATTCTGAACTTAAATGATATGGGAACATAAAGCTTCTATACTATATCATTTATCTCTGTTAATTAAAATAGGAAATTTTCAGACAACTGTTCTCTGGGCACTTGATTATCATTAAACTAGGGAGTATTTTTAATTTTTACACAATTTAACCATGGTCACATTGGGTTGTTTGATGTTCATTAAACTAGGGAGTTTTTCTTTTTTTACACAGGGTTCCTTCTTGGTCATTTTCATTAATCAAGGGAGATTTTTCACACACAATTCATCTCTGGTCCCACAGGGTCTTCTTTAAACTAGAGATTTGTTCACACACATTTCAAGTCTGATTGTATAATCTTCATTAAACTAGAGAGTTTCTCGAACACTTTTGATCTCTAGTTGCATGATCATCATTAAGCTAGAGAGTTTTTCACTCACTTCATCCCTGGCACATGAGACCTTCATTGAACTAGGGAGTTTTTCACACCTCCTTGGTGCAAGTTGTCATTGAAGCAATGATTTTCCCAGGGGAATTCACACCTACTGTTGATATGTAAAACACTTCACACTATAAAAGGGCTCCAGTTATTGTCTGCTGGTGCCAAAGCTAATAGGATTACAGGTGACCTTCTTGAAGGGGGAAGGTTGTGTTTCTATTATTGTACAGTCTTGTTTAGTGTCCAATATTGCACCCTTGTACATTCATTTAGCTCTATGGTACATGGACGTCAATGAATCTTTCCAGCTGGGTGGCCATTACTTGCAGTACCCTTGATACCAGTAGTACAAATTATTTTTTTCATGACTGATTACATTTTAGGTGTCATACTCCCTACCTCTCACACAGAAAACACACACCTGTCATTGTATATTTCCTAAAAAAAAATATAGTTCATATGCACCCAGCCCAAAAAATTGACAATAACTTAATATTAATAGTATAGTCCATGCGTATTATAACGTCCAACCTGGCTACATGTATCTGCTCGCTTTGCTTTTTCATTGAAACTTACAGCTATTAAAGCGAATATTATTGTCCTCAAAAATTTCAACTTATTCATTCATGGTTTTTTCTTACTAATTTGAGACATATTTTAGCAGATTACTCTGTGCAATTTAAGTATGTGGTAGTTTTGAAAGCAAGCTAAACTAGGTAAATGTTAAATAACACTTGAACCATATTGTACCACGTAGCATACTTCCCTGGATATATGACCTACTTTCTACTGATGTACTCATATACATGTACTGTATTTGTGTGTTTGTTGTCATATCAATCATTCCATAGATGCAAAACATACATTGTATGAAGAAAACATTATAATGATATTTTCACATTGGCATTTTTTTTAATTTACTAGTATTTCTATTTGGGGAGCAGCAATGACAAAGCGTATGATATGAATTCTATGGCAAAATGCACATATTTGGTTTGATATGACAGGTCTGTGTGACCTTCCTATAATGATGGTGTTAATTTAATGTGATATCCTGGTGGCAACAAGAACAATTCAAGCATGTGGGGGATGAGATTCTCTACCAGTTGCTGTCTTCTATCCCCTTCGGTTTGTGGCCAGCTCACCCAGCCCTAGGTGTGATTTGAACTCTGATTGATTGATCAAGTATCTGTTGCAACAACCACAATGATACCAGTGATCAGACATAATTGTTACCGCATATTATATAAAATCAAGGATGTATAAGATAAGGGTAGGCAAGGAGGGTGTGATATGCGACGAAGATCTCGCGTGAGTTGAACAAGTCACTCATATTGTGAGATAATCATATTATTGCAAGACAAACATTTTCTGGAAATACTAATGCAAATTTGTAAGTCTGTGAAAAAAACTGATTAGTGAAGCCAAAATAGTGGAATCTGGAGTGCGTGCGTTTTCATTTTTGAATGCGACATTCAACTCGCTTGTTTCGGTTTGTGCAATCAAACTATTCTAAGCATCTTCTGCGTTCTGTGATGCGTTCTATTGATGTGCATGGACAGAAATTGCTTTCAATACTCGCAAAGTGTGAAAGTTCGTTTCTCATGAGATCTTCAGCATATATCATTGTACATCACTGTGCTTAAAGGGCGGTAGTCGCTGCACAGTGCATGTACAAATTTCATGTAAACAAACAATGTATTTTACACGTGTTGTATACGTTGCTATGAGTCCCATATCGAACAGGACGCGGCACGTCGACCACCGGCCTTTAAGTTATAAACCTTGATAAAACATAATACCGAGTGCATGTGAAATTGTAGTCATGATTTATATTGTAACAGGTTGGACTCTCTGTATGTTAGCATAGAATTGAGCCTGTGGGTAATTTATATAACAATGGATTGTATTGATCACCTGTGTTGTAATTCATTGTTATGGCAATTAAGCTCCATTGTCTATCCACAAGTATAGAGTTTCAGTGTCAGCTGTCTATATTTTTTTGGGGTGACCTCTTGCTTAGAAATGAAGACTCCTTCTAATAAATACAACTCTACAGGCCTCTAGATTGTGACCATTTGGTCGCCATGGCAACTGAATCAAAGTAAATATTTAGGTCACTGATTGGGATCTAAACAAAATTTGACTAGCGACAATTTCTCTGTGACATTACATAGATTATACAGCTTGTCAACTCTTGGTGGCGCACTTGTACTTGCCATATTTAATTATTGTAATGAAGTGATGTAAAACAATAGCTTTGTAAGTTCAGGTAATAAACCACAATGTTTGCGGTAAAAAGTAGATCTCATCAGTGAATCAGTGTCGGCCAATAATAATACAAGTCGCATCTAAATTTTAATTGCTGTTTCTGTGTAGTTTATGGTATATTTGTAAGCATAATAAATTCTGCCAACCAACAGATTTGTACTTGGTTACTAAATTTTTACTGTTCAGTTGGCTACCATCCATTTTAATTTGGTTGCCAATGACTACTAGGGAAAAAAACTTTGAGGGCTTCTGTAGTTGTACTCTTGTAACATTGTGAAAATATTCTGTGGAATTTGATAAACAGCATTGTCATCATCCAATTTACATAATAATAAAATATGTTAATCATTTTTGTTTATTGTTATGACAATTAGCCATTCTTTGACCGATCACATTCAAACTTAATACACATACCATGTATGATGACTTAAGTTTTCATCACCATCACCATAAAGTATGGCTGATTGATGGCCATTTTGGTCTTCAAAATTGCTAAATTCTGATGCTTAAACACGTCTGAGACTGCTCCCCAGAGATGAATTATGCTTGATCTTCCATATTGGGTTACATTTACATGTACATATCATATTTTTTTCAAGATTCAAACACAAATTGCCGACTGGCGGCCATTTTGTTTTTATTCATGTGCATGCAAATTCTTCACTAATATATTCCTGGATTCAGTTGAAATTAGCTTACTTTGTGTTATTTTGTGATTTTATTAAATTCGTCAAATTGATGGCCATTTTGTCTGAAAACCTAAAACCACAGTTTTTATAAAAGGCCAAAACTGTTTCTCAGAGATGAACAGAGCGATTTCATCCAAACTTTGTATCATGATCGTACATACTGTGTTACAGGTTCAAGTCATTTCAGCAACTATTTCAAGCTCAGTATAATAATTCCACATACCATAAAATTTATTTAGGCAAATGTACATTTCAGGATTGCTGCTGGTGATGTATTTTGACATTAAATTTAAAACTGCATTCTCATTTTCAATTTTTGTTTGATATGATCATACAATGTATATAATAAATCGCCTGAAAGATATGAGATACAGATGTACCATATTTACTCTATTAGTAGGGCACATAAATTCCGTAAAATAAGTCATATTTTAATGATTATGTATAAAAATACAGGGATCTGCCCACGCTGGTCGGCGCCGGTCGCTAGCGACCGGCACTCAGAATTTCCGACCAGGACAAAAAGTTGGCGACCGGCACTATTCTATTCGTTTATGATACACACAGGATGTCGGCCACTGGATCATTGTTCTATTGTCCTTGTTGGTTTTAACACACAACAACACAATGCAAAAAATTAACACACAACAAAACTTTAATGAAAGAAGACACCGCTGTTCAAAATCAACGTACACGTGTGACATCGGCCTAATGTGTTTTTGTTTTAACCTTCTCCGATTGACATTCTGTTAGTTTTAACAAACGAACCAGATTGGAATAAGTCGTACATCAAGATAATGGAAGGGGAGACAACGATAAATAAACAGAAGGAAGGATTACCATTACAAGTTTAGTCGTGTGTAGGATTTGTCGAGTTGAACAATAACTTGCTCACTTCACTGGCAGCGATGCGTCAGGCTGTCATTCGTTTAATCTGCACTTGCACTCGAGTGTAGGAAACTTCATTGATGTTTTTGGCTTCATGACTCGTTCATAAAATTAAATTCATAAGCTATATTCAGTCAGCGATACAAGGAATACTTATTTCTCACTATTAATGTGATTTACCAGAATTCCATTGGGAAAGAAAACAATTAAATTCTTGTTTCCACTTTGGCCGTAACAAATGAACGACATGCTTTGCCAAAAAAAATGGCTGCCAGGTCAGAGGTCAATGTCTCAAAATACGTATTTTAGACGTGATGCGAAAATAAAGTGTATATATTTTTTCACTTTTATCAAAGCAGATTAATTTTACATTGAAATATTTAAAATAAAAGTTAAAATAATTAAAGTAGTTAAATCGTAGCTAGTAGAATGGAAAAATGGATATTAATTAGCTCATAAATATTAATGAACTCATGAATATTAATTAGCGACCGGCACTCAAATCAGGCTGGGCAGAACCCTGAAAATAAATGCAATATTTGGTGCATTTCTACTAGAGTACAATGTAGATACTTGTTTAGTATATACCTTCGATTGAATTTGTATTTACTCCACAAATTGGAGATCAGAATATTTTGTAAGGCCAGTGATTATTTCAACGTAGTATTCCCTCATGAGAGTACCTGTACAATTCTCTTTTGAGTTTTCTATATTGCGGCATCATTTAATATTGGATATGAATGAAAACACTAGTGAAGGAGAAATTCTTGATTTATGGCTCCCTAGCTGTGTGTTTTTATGTAATGCGGCTGTCAAGTAATATTTTGCATCATTAATTATAATGCATCAGACATGTACGACACAGTCATGAATTTTCTAACTTCTGTTTTTTTGTGGTATTATTGCTGTAATATATTTTATAATGTGAAAGTGTTTGTTGGGTTTTCGCTAATTCCTCGGCTGTCACCAATGATCAATAGATGAGTTTTGAGTCGTAGCACCACTGATTGGTTTCTGTGCGAGAATGGAGGTTTGATTATTAGCTCGCACATTTTGTTTGATGGTTTCTTTGCTTCCCGGTGTTCTGATGAGCTATCGAACGTTTATGTGGCGAAATAAATGTTGACAAAATTAGAACGTTAATTTAGATTTGGCTACCATAAAGTAACGAAAAGAATTTCAAACCAACCACTATAAAACATTTTTTTAGCTGGAATTAATTTTCGCTGAAAAAACTTTTTTGGTGTTTTGTATGGAATTTATTTTCACTGATTTTTGACAGGTTGAATGTAAAATATAGTAAAAAGGGTATATATTCGCTGGATTTTATTTTCAATGAATCATTCCTTCAGCGAAAATAGCGAAAATAAAGTATTTTACAGTATTTGTTGTTAGATACATGTACATATACCTACTGTCAATACAATAAAATAAGTGTGACATGTGTATACATGTATATGTATGTGTATCATTGTACAATGTCGTCTCAGTGTTCTCCCCCCCAAAAAATAGCATCACATATTTACTAATTTACATACCAATAAAATATGTTAATCACCTATATTGTGTCTATATTGATAATTAAGCTCTCCCCCTCTCTATAATAATACAGGGACAAACCCCCTCCCCCTCCACACCTCAGTTTGCAGTAATTAATCATTTCAATGCTATACATTTTCCCGCCATTTGTTGTGAAACATTTAGATGTATTTTCTGTTATTTCGTTGTGACCTTTGAACCAGAATGAATATCACAGGTGTATGGACAAATTGATACCAGCGTAATTTTCAAAAATTGACAACGAAGACCCTTGCCTTGTAAGGGGTGATTTACGTTCCATATGTATTCACTTTGTGACATAATGCAAATAAATAAAAACAATTTATTTTTCCATTTATTGCAGAGCAAGCTGTTGTCATTGTTTTGTAAGCAGCTGGCAATCAAGACGGAAGCGCAGCACAATGGCGTTCCGAGTGCAGATATACGAGCCCTGGAGAGTTATCCCAAATTGGAACAGTGGCTTGAAGTAGTAGATATCAATAAAACTACAGCCAAGGTAACTATGTCTGTCTACTGTCATAAAGGTGGCATAATAAATACAGTCTTGTTCGCCTTAGCTTGAGATGATATTTATATATATTCCCATGACTTCAGCAGACATGAGTGATTACTGCCAGAGGTTTGTATCAATCTGAGCCACTAGCAAGATTGATGTGACTCTGGTGGTAATCATGAGTGATGAGTGTCTGCTGATATCAGCCAACAAAAAAATATCATTGGATTATATATTCATCACATGCATATTTCCATAGTGCAACATAGTAAGATGACAGAGTGTTGACATTGGAACTATTGCTGAAACAACACCGAATACAAATATATCATAGCGCACACCCTGTATGCTAATTTTGTTGATTTCACAGTGTTCTATTTCACACAAGCGTCTGGCTTACACAGGATTCTGTTCGTTTGTGGTATTTCCTCAAATTCGTTTTTAAATTTCAACCGTTTTTTTTTTGAGAGGGACTGAATAATAATTCCGAAAACACACATGTGAACTTGACAACATCTGTAGTTTACGGCGCATATATAGCACCAGAAGCTCAGAACAATGTTCAGGCATCGTATACAATAAAAAAAGTTTGCCAGTGTGTGGCATGTTACTGGGATGATATGGGTTTTTGATCCTTCCTGTTTTGCTTCACACTGGGGTTATAAAGGATTTTTTATCTGCCCTGTCTTGTGCCACACTTGGGTGATATGGGTTTTTGATCTCCCCTGTCTTGCATCACACTGTGATGATATGGGTTTTTAATTTGCCCTGTCTTGTGCCACACTGGGGTGATATGGGTTTTTGATCTGCTCTGTCTTGCCCCACACTGGGGTGATATGGGTTTCTGATCTACCCTGTTTTGCATCACACTGGGGTGATATGGGTTTTTGATCTACCCTGTCTTGGGTCATACTGGGATGATATGGGTTTTTGATTTGCCGTGTCTTGTGCCACACTGGGTTGATAAGGGTTTCTGATCTACCCTGTCTTGCTTCACACTGGGGTGATATGGGTTTTTGATTTGCCCTGTCTTGCCCCACACTGGGGTGATAAGGGTTTTTGATCTACCCTGTCTTGCGTCATACTGGGGTGATATGGGTTTTTGATCTGCCCTGTCTTGCGTTATACTGGGGTGATATGGGTTTTTGATTTGCCCTGTCTTGCCCCACACTGGGGTGATAAGGGTTTTTGATCTACCCTGTCTTGCGTCATACTGGGGTGATATGGGTTTTTGATCTGCCCTGTCTTGCGTCATACTGGGGTGATATGGGTTTTTGATCTGCCCTGTCTTGCGTTATACTGGGGTGATATGGGTTTTTGATCTGCCCTGTCTTGCGTCATACTGGGGTGATATGGGTTTTTGATCTGCCCTGTCTTGCGTCATACTGGGGTGATAAGGGTTTTTGATCTACCCTGTCTTGCGTCATACTGTGGTGATATGAGTTTTTGATCTGCCCTGTTTTGCGTCACACTGGGGTGATATGGGTTTTTGATTTGCATTGTCTTGCAATGTATGTCACTCTGTGGTGATAAATTAATGCATTTAATTGATTGACTGAAATTAAATTATTCTTTCACTGGTGACATCAAATATTATTTGAGAAAGCACCTGTGTATGTGTATATCATATGTTGTATTAATTTATGCCATGACTCTCCAGGGAGGCTTCCCTGGTACATGCACTCAGCCATATGGCTTATAATTCCATGTTGGTTTTATTTATGCTTCCCAGTTCTTGTGTACCAGGCGCCAGTCTCGTGCACTCAAAGACATATTTTAAAATCTCATACATCCAGCTCAATTTCTCACAAACATTGGTGATCATCAGAATTTTTCTAGATCATAATTTAACTAGCTTGTAGTTTTATTTAATTGATTGTATTTTGACCTGATGGTGATTTGACCAGGTCATTATTTTACCTGACTGATTGGTCCAGATCATGATTTCACTAGATTGTGATTTGACTAGATTGTGATTTGACTAGATTGTGATCTGACTAGATTGTGATCTGACCAGATTGTGATCTGACTAGATTGTGATCTGACCAGATTGTGATTTGACCAGATTGTGATTTGACCAGATCATGATTTCACTAGATTGTGATTTGACTAGATTGTGATTTGACTAGATTGTGATTTGACTAGATTGTGATCTGACTAGATTGTGATCTGACCAGATTGTGATCTGACTAGATTGTGATCTGACCAGATTGTGATTTGACCAGATTGTGATTTGACCAGATTGTGATTTGACCAGATTGTGTTTTGACTAGATTGTGATCTGACCAGATTGTGATCTGACCAAATTGTGATTTGACCAGATTGTGATTTGACCAGATTGTGATTTGACTTGATGGATTTCTCTAGATCATGATTTGTCTAGATCGTGAATTAATAAGGTTGTGATTTGACCAGATCTCGTAATCAATAATATTTTTCTATCTATTACAGGATGTTTGTAGTCGTCTTAAAAAATTAGAAAGTTTAATAGATTTACCTGACACAGATATTAATAAATTATTAAGTCAATATGGAGCTGCAGAAAGGGAAGCCCGTCGTCTTGTTAATGCACGAAAATTACTTAAAAAAGCTATTTCTGGTAAGTTTTTATTTTCGCTGATTCCATAATTTATTTCTGTTTTGAAAGTTAACATCCATTTTTTCGAACATTGTATGTGATTGCAAACAATTCTACTGCTCGATTTGACATGTGCATGTTGTTTATCATGACAGACAACAGTTTGCAAACTGTGTATTATTTTTCTAAATTAAGTCTGACATCAACAGATGTTATGCAGTTCTAGTTGTCAGTCCCAATAACATTCCTTTTACCCATCTGTATTCATGGTAACACTACTCATTGCTCAGCCCAGTTCTTCCATTTGC